CAATTAAAATCAAAATTTGTTTTAAACTAGCGTTTTTCTCAGTAACATGAGGGAATCCCAGTGGAGTTAAAAGAACCTGAGAAATCAAGTTATCTAGGTAAATTTCGGGCGTAAATTTCAGTGACTCTTTCTTATCACGGGCAAGGAAACTCGGATAAAAATGACTGGAAAGTGGGGTGAAATATAGCTAGGGGTCAATGTTTTTATAAAACTTGTACAAGTGTGATTTACAAGTGTAGCTATTGTTTTCACACTCTTCTCTTCGAGTTCGAGCCTTAATGATGAGGATAATTATAACACAATGGCATCTATAACAAACCAAAAAGACAGTGGATGGTACATTTTAACAATGGACCTCCTTATGATATCGTTATTAAGAGGAATTGATAAAGGAACATGGGAAAGTGGGCGTTTTGCTTGATCTTGATTTAATCAGTCATGAAAGCAATAAAATTATCTTCGTTTACAGTCAAGGCAGATCAAGCTACACCCTACAAGATTCTTTTCATGAACTGGTTACTCGTCGTTCCATAAAAATTCAAATCGATATTCCTGCATGCGTAATGAGCAGTGACTATTTTGCGAGATTTTCTCTGTATTTGGTCAGATAAAAAATCTTTGAACGGATAAAATTGCATCGCAAACATCTACACCAAATTCAGGGAAACCGGGTGTTAGAAATTTCAGTAACTGCCTCCTGCGTGAATCCACTGCTCGTTATGCATGAAAGAATGTACAGATGAATCTGAAATCTAAAACCACCAACATATTCAACTCTTGAATAATAAATTCATTACAGTGTGACTACTCGATCAACGAATTCTGATTTTTTTCCTCAACAAAAAGAACGTCAATAAAATTCAGAATTTTGAGGGTTGTTTCCCGACAGGTCAGGTCACTTAAATCTCATAGCCAAATTTTATTGGTCCGTTTGCAAAAAAAGAACAAAAACCTTGAGATTCTTTCATTCTTTTTAGAAGTCGATTTGATAGGACAAAATCATTCCATAGTTATCAGTGCAAGTGCCGCAACTGCGACAATCGCAGTCAGAATCCCCAAAAACTGTCATGCCGGTGTGGAGAAAGCAGGGCTAAAGGACGGAAAACAGGTCAAACCTCTTGCATAGATGTAAGTGGTCAGAGGCGAACAAAATGTCCCTGCTACTCCAATGGTAAACCTTGCTCTATCCTCTGTTCATGTTTCAACTGTGAAAATAGATATGGAATAAGGGTTACTCACAGCACAGACGATTGTAAGGCAGAGAAAACGAAGAGAATAACTTCTACACCACCATCATTGAAGAGGCGGCGAACAGCAGCTATCCTGGAGGAGGAGGGATCTGATTTGCAGCCCGGACCATGGACACTCGAAGAGAGCTGTCTGTTAGACTCCGTTGAGTCATTCATTTTGAACACGTGTGTCATCCCAAGTTACAGAAATATATCCATATTGTATAATTTTGTGAGCAAGGGTCTGCGTGGAAATAATATACAGTTTACAGTGACCTCTAAAACAGAGAGGCAAATTCAAGGAAAATTGGAATTTGTAAGAAAAAAACATTTAGCTCTAAAGAATCTTTATTATGATATTTCAGTTCTTGATAACCAAGGGAACTCGGACTGATTGTTCTATTACCGTATCAAATGGTACCATCCACAAGAGAAATATAGTAAACATTGAGCAATCTTGAATTCGGCCGTTATGTTTAGAAAAAAAAATAGCTTTTGAAACAATTTACATTGTTTTAAGAATCCAAATAATAATTTTTAAGGCTTATTGTGTGAAAGTCATATTATTCTTGTAAGGCAACAAAATCACGCGAGGATGTGATGGGCAATGGGCAACACACCCCTTAATTGTCTATGTAGTAGTCAGTTGCCTAGTAAAATAAAATCGCCTTTCAGATCACAGCCAATAGTTTGATCTGCTAACCAATAAAGTTCGTTGATCATACATTGTGGTCTATGTTTCCATCTGATTGAATATAAAGTGGAAACTGTTAGTATAGATTATCAAAAAAAAAATTCCCTTATAAAATGGAGCAGAGCTGGAAGATTCGTTCTATACTCTCTATCGACAAGCAAAAGTCGTGATAGCTAATTTTGTTCAATCAGGACATGTGATTTTGGAAACAACAACTTCATCATCATCATCTTCTTCTTTGTCATCCTCTCCCTTTTCTTCTTTTTTTATGTTTATTTTGTTTTACCCCCTGAAAACAGCAACCGTGTTTAACATTTACTCTTACAAATAGCGTATTTCAATTTCAATTAATATTTTTTGTTTAATTATACCAACTGTACGCTGAAATATGCTCGTTTCAATGATTCAGTTAGGTCAGACGCCGCTCCACGGATAATCGCCCAAGAAATACATACATCTTTATTTCACACTTACCCACTAATGCCTACAACGGACACTGGTTTCTTGCCATATCGACATATTGTCATAGAGTCAACCGTTATAGGGTGTGCATGAGTAAACAGGATAAACATGGTATACAGAATACTAGAGTTTACATGGGTAAACAGAATATTGCAGAGTATAACTAAACAGGAGATTTAACAATTATTCCACGAGTGCGCGTATGCAATGAGACGGTTGTAGGCAACCAGGCGCGTAGCGACGAGTTTGCTTTAATAATGTCATATCCAACAAGCGCAAGTAGAGTAATTGTTTTATTAAAAACGCCCTCAAAATATCGAGAATTCGTTTTATTTATAAGAACAACTTACAGTTAAGGTCTCAGGAATATCTTGCCATGCCGGGACAGCATATGCAAGTATAAATGATCTCACAGAGCACTTTTAATATTGGTAATATTTCTGCCAGCTACAACAGCTCTTTTAAGCAAAATTAAGGAATACAATCATTTGACGGCTATACCATAAATATAATCAATGTGGTAGTTCCATGCAAGATCAAGCCTAATTTTTACACCAAGTTTTTTACATGTCGAAACACGCCGCTCTAACTGATGGTTTCCAAAGCAAATAGGCTGTAGCGTATTATTGGGATATTTCAGAAATTTATAACCATTTGTTTATGATTTAACTTCATCTTATGTTCAATAAAAAAATGCGCCTGTCTCTAACAAGCAAAATTCAAATCGCTTAATGAAAACTGTAGGACGTATCTAGTATTGAGTCCATTTATCTAAATTGAGAACAGGGGCACGCCCATCTTAGTTCCTGGTATGTCACCATGGGTGTGTTTCCACTCAGAAAGGATATTACCTATACACACAGCTTGGGTTCTATTGGTCACAAAAGACTAACTTAATCCAATCAGATAGCACAGGTTCCAAACCAAGAAGTGGAGTTCGTCGATAAGTATATGCTATGTGGTGGTCTTGAGAAGAATTCTCCGCTAATATACAGAATGACTTTGGTAAACATGGGTAAACAGAATAAGCGAGGGTATACAGGGTATACAGAGACACTAGAGTTAACATGGGTACACAGGATATATAGGGGTATACAGAGTATACAGTATTACTAGGGTAAACGTGTACACAAGATATATAGGGGTATACAGGGTATACAGTATGACTAGAGTAAACATGGGTACACAAGATATATAGGGGTATACAAGGTATACAGTATGACTAGGGTAAACATGGGTAAACAGGATATTCAAGGGTATACAAGGTATACAGTATTACTAGGGTAAACATGGGTACACAGGATATATAGGGGTATACAGGGTATACAGTATTACTAGGGTAAACATGGGTAAACAGGATAAATATGGGGTATACAGGGTATACAGTATTACTAGGGTAAACATGGGTAAACAGGTTATATAGGGATATACAGGGTATTCAGTACTATTAGGGTAAACATGGGTGCAAAAGGTATATAGGGGTATGCAGGGTATACAATACTACTAGGGTAAACATGGGTACACAAGATATATAGGGGTATACAGGGTATACAGCATTACTAGGGTAAACATGGGTAAACAGATTATATTGGGGTATACAGGGTATACAGTATTACTAGGGTAATCAAGGGTAAACAGGATATATAAGGGTATACAGGGTATACAGTATTACTAGGGTAAACATGGGTAAACAGGTTATATAGGGGTATACAGGGTATACAGTATTACTAGGGTAAACATGGGTAAACAGGTTATATAGGGGTATACAGGGTATACAGTATTACTAGGGTAATCTAGGGTAAACAGGATATATTGGGGTATACAGGGTATACAGTATTACTAGGGTAAACATGGGTAAACAGGTTATATAGAGGTATACAGGGTATACAGTATTACTAGGGTAAACATGGGTACACAGGATATATAGGGGTATGCAGGGTATACAGTTTTACTAGGGTAATCAAGGGTAAACAGGATATATAGGGGTATACAGGGTATACAGTATTACTAGGGTAAACATGGGTACAGATAAGATATATAGTGGTATACAAGGTATAAGAGATAACATATCAGGGAGTCTATATGGAGACTGCCATGAATTACTTGCCCAAGAATCTTCGGAGCTGCTTATATCTAATGGGGAAGCCATCGGATCTTCCGAACACCAATCCCCAATAGTGGGTTCCAGGCCTCACACCAGCTGACCGCAAAATTCAAAATGGCCGCCAAATGAAAACAACTTTTCACGCATCGATAAAGTAAGCAATCTTTATTTTTTTTCAAATATTTATTTCCTTTTCGGATGTGATAGACACACGTGCTTAATTTCGTCAAAGGCTAGAAGACTATCCAAAGATTTCTAGGCTCCAGACCTCGAAATACTGACTTGCTGACTGCAAAATTCAAAATGGCCGCCAATGAAAACAAATTCCACGCATCGCAAAAGTAAGTGATCTTCGTAAGAATTAAATATTAAAGACCGGAGTGACTGCAGTTACGCCTCGCGAGGTTTTGCGAGTCTTGCGAGTCTTGCGCGAGTCACTTATTTCTAGTTCTAGAATTCGAATTTCGATACTATTGTCAGTCCTGTATTGTCAAAGGGTCATGGATGAATAGCTAAAAGGACAGGTTGCGTGATTGGTCGAGAGTTCCACGTTCGAGTTCTAGAAGGCGGAAGTAGGTCGAAGTACACGTTATTACAACTTTTGTTAGGCACACAGTGCTTTGCTTTTGCTCTCTAAACGAAATGGCAAAAAAGACCAGAAGTTCAGCTCGATTCGTAGAGATCTTATGGTCGATGGTTAACAATGAAGATGAGATAAAGAAATGCGGTGAATACATATCGTGGAATGAGGTATTTTAATTGAAGTATTAAAGCTTACTGTTTCAGAATTCTTCAATTCTTACTGACCTGCACGCCTCTTTTATAGTTTTGTAAGCTGTATTAAAATGTTATAGAATGATTCAAAATAATGATGCTTAATCACATTCCCTATTTTTTGCAGAGTGGAACTGGTATCGTCATCGAAAGTCGAAACGAACTTGCCTCTCACGTGCTTCCTACGTATTTCAACACTCGAGAGTTTTCAAGCTTCCATCGACAACTAACTAATTGTAAGTATACAATCAGTTTTTGCACACAACTGCTGCATCCCTTGCTCAGAAAAAAGAAGACTTTATAATTAAAGACGACAGAACTCAACCTAGAATAATCTCCCTTCCAGCAACATGTTTGCATAAACCAGACGATAGCCATGCTGCAAGATACTTAAATTTAAGATAATAGATAAATGGATAATAAACAGAATATTTTGTAAATCTTAGCTAGGAAAAGAAATAAAGCAATCTTAATGTCTCTGTAATCGACTCTGTAAATCTCTGATCAGCAATTGGTAGCAACAAATGTTGGATAATGCATGGTTTAATTTTACGTTTGAACAACCCACCCCTGGGCAATCCCTGGGGTGAGTCTATCCATTTGTGCTCAGGGGTGGAGATTGGTTTGAAGCAACCCTATCCCAGGGATAGGGGGAGGGGTGAAGGTAAAGGTTAAGGCACACAGGAGGCCAAAAGCCCAAACGGCCGGAACTTATACTGGTTTCTTGTAGCATGAAGCATGCTTCGAAGTATTACTATTCCACTCTGCATGGGATGCTAGTCCATTGCAGGGTTACCCCCCAGCAGTATGTTGCCAGTACCCATTTATGCACCTGGGCGAAGAGAGACAAAGTGGAGTAAAGTTCCTTGTCTATTAATTTAAAGGAAACAACGCGACAGGTTGGGCCTAAATTCATAAGCCATTGACATGAAATAAAATTATAGTCACCTGGTTTTCAGGGTATGATGACAGGCAGGAGCCTTTTTTTCAAAACTTGAAATTATTTTGTTCCAGTACTATACCTGCCAACTCTCACGCCTCAGGCATGAGTCTCACGCCTGCGGGTTGAAAACTTCGATCTCACGCCGGCTCACGCTTTCGGGCCAATTTCTCACGCCTGATTGAAAAATGTGAGTTGTTGCCATCTTGCTTGACACAATTTCCAAAAATATGTTAACTCAGACCCATGTAAGGAATGAAAACCATGTGTAAAATGAATGAATGACAATACCTTCCTCGCGATCTCTGATTTTTGAAGTGAAAAGCACTGGGAGCGAGCTCGCGTTTATATGCGTCCTAAGACTTCGGACGTCTTCGGACTTCTCCGGAAGACTTCGGACTTCTTCGGGAATCTTCGGAAATGATCGTGTCGTCTTCAAAAATCCCAGCACTCCCAGGATAAAAATCTCATGCTTACATCTCAGAAAAAGTTGGCAGGTATACAGTACCTCTAAAATCACTATGCCCGTACGAAACGAGCAGCGCTGCTGCAGCACAGCAGAATGGCTTCAAGAAGCGCTACAAAAGAGCTGTAAAAGCGCTGCGCTGCAGCAGTCGCAAATTTGGGCTGCAGTGGAAAGCCCTTTGACAGGGATAAACAGTGCTTTTGCAGCGGTGCAGAAAATTCCCGAATCAGGATCTGCGCTGCAGAGTGGCTGCAAAGTGGCTTCAAAAAGACAAAGAATGTTGTGGGGTATTAAATGGCCTACCACTCGTTAGTACCAAAAAAAAGAAATGCAGGCTCCAATAATACAATGATCATGATACATGGTAGAGAAGTTTACAAGGCCTTAGTAGCAGAGTAAAAACCACTAGAAAGTCAAAATGCAACTTATACTTTATTAGTATACACGCACACAAGTTACAAAAGCATGTGACTTATAACAAATCTGCAACAGTCTCGCTTTGTAAATATTTAGCAATCACGGTCTTTCATCTGAATGTCAAGAAATCCATTAACATGCAGACATTAATATTGAAAATTATCTTTTTTAAAAATAAAGAGAATAACAGCAATTGTTCTACATAAAGTTTACATGGACAGCAGCCAAATGATATTTTGATTCGTTGCAACGGGCTAAGCTGGACATTGCTCACCTTGAAGTTTTGTCCGTGATCCACGATCTTCTACACTTTTTTCATGAAAGAAATCAACCGAATTTTTCTTTGGTCGTCATTATAATGGACTAATAGAACGTACATTACCATGAGCGTATGAGAATCTTGTGAGTACAAACCCCAGCTGAGATTCTTGTGTCTGTGTTGCTTGCTCTGGTTCGGTTCGTCAATACTTAGCGTAGAAGACACTACACTGTTCATTGCGTTGTTTGCAAATACGTTTGAGCTGTTCCATCCAAAAACATCAACAGAACTTCCATCTCAAAAGAGAACTTGAAGCAAAAAAACTTTGAATATTTGCGCCTTTCATTCAATGGTCGCAAATGTTTGGGCGATCCCGTGTTTGCATGTCTAGAGATGTAATGGGATCTCATGCAGAAGGACTGACCAATTATATTACGGCCTAGAATTTCTCCAGGGAATTAGCGATTCCCACACTCGCCCGTCACAGAATGAAATTTATTGAAATCTTTATTCTGAAAGTGTAGAATCTGGAGGTTAATTTATTCAATAAGTGATCTTCCTTGCATACAAGCTTATATGTATGCAGAATATTTAATGTGTTTCCTAGAACTGGGTTATTTGTAGAATTTGAAATTCACCTAGTAAGAAAAATAATGAACAACCAGGGCCCATATTATGTGGAAACGGTTGCCACATTTAATACACACTTGAAACATGGCTTGAGTAGTATTTTAGAACCAATCTTGTCTGATAGCTCCTTTGAGATGAATTGCAGAAATCTCTCTCATGATACATCCTCAGAGGCAGGGTCAGGGAGTGGTGAGAGGCAGCTGGGTATATTCACAGGCTGGTATTAACCTCATGGAAAATATCATGTTTTAAAAATTAATTCATTTTTTTTCTGAGCAGATGGATTTAAAAAACTCCAGGATGTGGAGGGGGATGAGTTTGTAAATGAAAACTTCATAAGAGGCTTTCCAGAGTTACGGAAGAATATCATCAAGAAAAAGGTGAGTGCACTGCATGGTCATGCAGAGTCTTCTATTAATTATAGCACTATAATGACAACAAGCCTAAATTCACTCCTGAGTGCAAATTGCATATGGCTGATGTAAAAATTCACATTTCAAAATTTCTTCTTGAAGAATCCAGGGTTTCAATAAAAGTTGAATTAAGTAGCCAGCAGGTTTGAATAAAGTAAATATAATTGTATCAACAGTTTGTTGGTAATTCGATCCCTTCTTCTTACTGGGTCTGGGGGGATCAAAAGCAGCGTATATAAATTATGATCACAATTCATTTGCACATCAACAAATTCTGTATAAATTAACCTACATGTATAAGGAAATGAGTAAAAAATTTATTGGAATACAGCGTTAACATTGTAATAACTAATTATAAAGCACAACATATAAAACCTGTAGGCAAACACTTCTATGAAATTACACAAAATAAGTTTACAGTCAGATTTTATGATATGTTTTTTGTTTATGGCATTATTCTAGTTGCATCTTCTTTTGAGAAAAAAATAGCTGACTTCTTTGAGTAAAGTAGCCAACAGTCATTTCTTTGGTCGTCGGTGCTTATTCAAACCCCCGAGAATCCAAAGAAATAAAACTGAAGAACCATCCAAAAGTTCTGCCAAAGAAGTTTCAATTGAATGGTAACATCATTAGGATTTTCAGATTTACATTAAAAACATAATTATCTACTTCAATTATGTCATAATCTGTAATTGTACACTGTACATATTTTAATCATTTTGACTGTTTAGCTTGGTATATCACTGTTCTAGGCACCCTATATTTTTTATGGGGTGATGGGGCTGGTGGGGTTTGATGGCTTTAAGCACTAATAAAATTAATAATGACCCCCTCTTAGAAAGTTTTTCACCTGCCCCCGCCCTAGGTTGAAGCCGTAAACAATTGAGATGACCTCTCCCCTCCCCCCTCCCACCTTCCCCACAAGAGAAAAGAAAAGAAACACTCAAAGTTATTAAGCTGAACTTAAATCAAACATAAAGCCTTGAGGTCAATTTCAACATTGTTAGTAGTCGGTTTCAGAATCATTCCTGTTGAACATCAGGAGTAACTGTAAAGTAACAGTGAGGGTTTCCAGTGGTAATCTTTTTTCCCACAAAATTTTAAACTATTTTCACTGATCCACCCTTGATCCACTGCTTGTGACATAATTAGTTTCACCATTCAAGAACAACTAATTAAGTCAGCTAGCTAACTTGTGCAGGGTGAAGAGGTCTTTCAAACCATACTAGAATGAGCGTGATCCAGTCAAGGAGGCAGGGTGGAGAAAAAGGAAAAAAAACATGACTTTGTGCAGTTGACCCGAAAATTCGCATAAAAATCTGGCTCCACTTAAGCTACCTACCATTTCCCTTCATCTATCCTAAGATCCTAAAAGCTCTCCCTCAAACTTAATTTCTAGCCCACGTAAACCCCACTAAATACCCAGCACAAGAAAAAAAATGAGGTAAAAAAAGTGAAAGAAGAGGGGAGGAGAGAAAGCGAAAAGAAAACTCTATAGACTGCTGTTTCACTTTCAAAATTATTTCGAAATTTTGCCTTCTACGCATGCTCGTAGTTCAGAAACTACTATTTTGCATCTGGAGGAGGGTACGAAGACCACAAAGTGTAGTGTCCTCTTTATAGCCAGACATTGACGAGAAAACAGCTCAACTAGCTTCAAAACATGTTTTTTTTTGGCGATAGAAATTCACAGGAGAGTTCAATAAAAGTAAGAAAAATACAAAATAAGCTCTTTTTTGTCAAATGTATATTTGACTGCAGTCATGTAAATTAAAGAAAAATCACTGCCCTTTACACATTACATTTTTTTGTCTGCCCCTCATTGAATAAAGCCATGATAATTATGGCTTATTCCGTTTGGAATGGCTTGTCCACCTTTAATAAATCCCATCAACCCCACCCACCTGCTACAAATTAACAGCATGGATGCTAAACTCTCAGTGCATTTTGCTGTCACTTAAAAGCCACCTTAACAACAATAATACAAGTATTTCCTTGTAACGTCAATGTTTTTGTATTTTTACACAGCCACCTGACAAGCATAAAAAAGGTACACACATTGATGCTAATAAAAGTGTTCTTGTTAATAATTGATAAAAGAAAGTTATAGCACATGCTGTATGACTGACAATTTAACAGAAGTACATGTATAAGGAAAAGCGAAGCTGGATAAATTATGTTTATTAGTCAAGCTTGATTTTTTTCCGAACTGCACCTTCAAAATTACCCGTTGTCTTTATTTTCCAGAGTAATTTGAGCTGGTTGGGTAAGCTGGTTTTCAGGAGATGAAATGAGCTGGTAGCAGCCTCTTTGTGACTGCAGATATCCCCTTCTCTTTTATTGTTTGCCCCATAATCATGAATTTTAATATTGATCTTGATCCATCAACTATATAAATGGAAGTAAAACTATTAACCGACCTTCCCCCTCCCACCCCAAACAATGTTGAATTTTGAAAAGAAAGAAATAAAATAAGATAAAATAAGAATAAGAATTTAAAGTAGATTACACAACACAAGTGTAAAAAAATTAGTAGGTGGAAATGATCGATCAGTCTTGTTTGTATTGAAACATTGCTGGGAGGGGAAGGGGGATAATGAAGGGATGAACCCAAATCCTGTCATAAACAAAACTGTAATTAGGAGCAGAATCCTAATGTAACAATCCCTTGGAGAGGACTTTGTCACAGAGAGATGTTCTTTTGACCTCCATTGTACCAGTACTGCTTGTGTTGATTAGACCATGGTTTTGATTGCTGACCAGGATCAGATCATTTAAATAGCACCGTGGTTGCTTAAGTGGACTGCTGTACGTATGTTAAGAATTTCTCTCATTTTGGTGGGTTTTGTTTCCAGGCATTGATGGTATTGCTGCCCCTGCAGGGTTTCTGGCCCCTGAGGAGGCACAACTTTACAGTCCCTACATGGATATATTGGCGAATCCTTGTTTTCATTTTTTGTCTCATTAGCAATAATTTATTATGCTCATCGTTATCTGAAGCTAGTAAAATAAAATTTCTAAATATTCAAAGGAACATAACGTGGTCATGCAGTTATCTCTGAAACTTCGAGCCCGATATACCGAATAGTTGCAGAGAAATTCTCTTTGAAAAACCCCAAAATTTACAAAGGATGACGTAATGAGGTCATTAACATTATATTTTGCCACCCAGCAATTTCGCAGTTTTTGATTGCTGCTATTTTTTTTGTTATAATTAATTGCAAAGAGCTAAAACTTAATTGCTCAAACTGCTCAAATTTACCAGCTATTTTAATTTTTGAACAAGTTTTATTTGTATATATAACTACGTCTTCTGTGTGTTACCTCGTATGCTAATGAGCAAAGATGTAAACAATGGCATCACAATGAATCCGCCTATACATACAATGGAATTGACAAAAAAATTAACTAAAAGAAAAAGACGTGTGCTAGCTAGCTGGTACATTAGGCAAAATCATCCCTATTGAAACAATCAGACGAACAGCTCACCATGTATGTGATCAAGTCTCCCATAGCTCTTGGTGATAATAAAGCCTCCAACTGCATGGAAACGTTTTTCATGAAAGCTGATGGTCATGGGTTCCATTTCTGAGCAGTTTGTTATGTATACAGCTGTACTTAATATATGTTCCCTTTTTATTGTTATTACTTTGACTTACGTGTTTAAAAACAGTTATTTTAGTTGTGGGATTCCTATAAATAGCTTTTGGTTTAGTGGAGTTTCCCATGAAATAAAGAATTACTTAATACTTCTGCTAAACATAGCAAACAAAAAGAAAGATTACGTTTTTCTGTGTTTTTTGCTAGCATAAAGATTTAGATAAGGGCTGCCCTGAAATAAGAGTTGCACCTACACTTCATGATCATAGTAATGAAAAAAACTTCATTTGACTTTGGCCATTGCATGTGTGTATTTATGCTCCTAATTTCTTTCCCTTAGGCTCAAGTGCGCGTGGAGAGAGTCTAAAAACTCATCATCCACCCCAGAATTCTTCTACATGTACCTCATTACCACATAACCCTCAGGTAAAGTTACAGATAAGTGATCAATTTTGTTATTGTAATTATTTCAAATACAGTAGTTGAAACCCAGGAATCTTTACATAAAGTAGGTTCAATTTGTCTGTATTATTGAGTCCTGACGTTTCAACAAAAATATACTTGTGTGGAATTCAATTCACCAGAAGCTGAAATTAGGGTCCGCAGGGTTTTTTTTAGCAATTCACTTCAGTGCAAACTTGCCCTTACAGTAGCTGCTGTTTTAAGCAAGATGCGGATAAAAAGCCTTTTGCTTTGAAAATATCAACTGAGCTATCGTTAGGAAGTTTAAGCAGCAACGTTTTAATGCAACGCATATAAAGCGGAAATGGACATTTTGCACTCTTGAAGACAATGATTTTGAACAAAATTTTGGGCAAATCGTCCCTATCAGAGTAAAGGCACTTAGCCATACAAATTTGGTAGCATAACGGCATATAATAAGAGAAAAAGGCTCACTTCTGGTTGACGTTGCATCGCTCAAAAGGCTTAAATTCCTTAATTAATAGGTTGATTTGGGTAAAAATATCCCCAAGTTCAGTTCTCACAGATGAACAGGCTATCGGGTAGATTAGGCTCACAGGCCAGCGCTATAGGCCACTCGCGCTAAGAGGTCACGTGACCAATGCTTCCTTTAAACAATGAGTTGTCCAGAATCTTGCTGACGCCAAAAATTGACAGAGCAGATAAAAATTATCTTACACCCGAAATTTGAGAGGGAACGCATTTAAGGGAGGTATTTTATGATACTTTGATTTTTCAACAAAGTAGTATGATTTGTATTGGCCGCTGTCTTGGAGGGCATACTCTTGCCCTCCAACGTGGCGGCCAAAACAACGTTTTGCTTATATCTTGTTAAACGTTTGATAGTTACGCTCAGATGTGCCATAAGCGTTACCACATCATCCTTTCAACACTTTCCTTGAAGTTTAAGTGCAAAATTTGCGTTCAGAGAAACGCAAGTAACGTAAATTTTAAAAATTACATTTTGGTCACGTGACCAGGTACTAACTTATTCGTTTTAAGAAAATGGTGCGGGTTTGAAAAACCAAATCACTATTATTTTGTTTAAGACATGACCCACTAATTGTTTTTCGAAGGCAAAATCATGTAACTTTCATTTTCATGAAAACGATGTCACATGACCTTGGTGCCAATGGCCTATTACATGGGTGTTCTTATAAAGTCACAAGTTGTACCTGTTACTTGGCTTTTTGCTCTGACTGTAATAAATGAGCAATTCATTATTACTTAATACATAATTTCCACTCTATTTTTTTTGTTACAAAACAGGTTCCTGCAGCTTCCGAACAGTTGACAGCAAAGCGTCCGCAGGAACAAATGACAGGTCTAGAAAATGAACTGTCCAATCAGAAATTAAAGAAACTTAGAGCGTCTGGTGTCCTTTCAACTGACCCAGATTCAAGTACGCTCCTCCGGTCGCTTGGGACAGCTTCAGCTGTAGAAAGAGTTCTTGATCAAGCTTATTACTCCCTTCAAATAGAAGGAGAGTTGCAAGAACTCCTTTTTAGAAATACAGAGGAGATAAGTCACGCAAACCCAGATAGTAAAGAGGCCAGAAATGATACAGTGTCACATTCTTTCTTGGAAGAGCTAGTGGATAATGTGCCGATGGGATATCCATACAATGCAACGTCAACTATGCAATTAAATGCAGATACAGATAATACAAGCATGGGTGGAGATTTTTCAAAGCACGACGAGTTTGTCCCTGTTCCAGTACCTAGTGACATAAACTCCAGGTCAACTCTCTTGTTGCCGGATCTGTCCCAACAATCTCCTGGTGTGAGCGCACATGTAAGTAAAATCATTTTGTTTAAGGGAAGGGAAAAAGTATCAATACGGAATCCACCAGGAAATTGAGTAATTTTAATTTTCAGTAGACAAAAACCTTGTTCCAGAATAATTTAAAGCATATTGCATTCTTTTTAAAATTTTTCAAGGGCTAAAGATGTAATTAGTCATCGGTGATAACACCAAAGAAAATTTGGCTGTGTATAAAAGTGGGACGGGGACATCGGGACGCGTGTTTGGTGTCTTGGGACTTGGGGACGCGAGACAAGGGACTTGAGGACATCAAGTATGGGACGCGGGGACGTCAAAAACAGGGACGCAGGGGACGCGGGATGTGAATGATTATTGCAAAAGTCGGAGGTAAATGCCATATCATTTCCTTTCTTCGTGAATATGTTTTGGTGAAGGCAACCCACCCTGCCCTAGGGTTCGTCCATGCCTGTTTACGAAGCGAAGATTCGGCGAAGACCCCCTGCATTGAAGAAAGTGAAACCGTTGTCCTCGTCTTCTTGCTGATGGAATATTGGAGCCCAAAGCAGGGTAGGGTGGGTTGCGGTCGCCAAAATTTATGTAGAATAGAGAACTAAAGTGATGACGTCATAAAAATGAAATTTCTGAAATTATGGGATTTGTCAGGATATTCTGAAAGAACACTGTCGAAGAGGCCTACTTACCAAAAATGAGCATTTCGGGGCAAATTGTCCCTGAGATCGTAGCCCAGTTACGTTTAGGAAACTCCATACAAACCCTTCTAAATTTTTTTGGATTGACACCCAAAAAATTAGAAGGGTTTGTATGGAGTTTTCTGAGTATAACTGGCTAACATCTCAGAGACAATTTGCCCCGAAATGCTCATTTTTGGTAAGTAGGCCTCTTCGACAGTGTTCTTTCAGAATATCCTGACAAATCCCATAATTTCAGAAATTTCATTTTTTATGACGTCATCACTTTAGTACTCTATAACAGCATTCGATTCCAAATAAATAAAAAATTAAGTGGCATAAGCGAGCTTTAAACCCCGAAGTACTAGCTCCGAAATCCATCGCCTGTACCACTAAAACACGGGGGATTTCAACTATTGTAGCTATATTTATTTTGTTCTACATATTTTTAGTGGCAAACCTAACAGTAAATGCTTGCTAACAGTACTTAAAGGTTGATTTCCACTGACGCGTTTTTGGCTATGCATGTTAACTCAAGTAAATTTTAATCATGTAAATAAGAGAGGCAAGTTATAAATTGTTGAGATTAAACGTGAAGTTGAGCGAGATTTTACTTTTACACTTACGTGCGACCTTTCATACATTGCCTCTATTTTATTTGCGAACGTAAATTTTACGCACGTACGCATGGAAAAATTACGCGAGAAAATGAATGTCAAATTTGACGAAATTACATCTTACACACGACATTTTCTGAATTTTACCTGTGTTTTCATTGACAATTCTTGTGAAATTTAACATTCATTTTCTCCATAGTTAATTGAGTGGAATGGTTATGAAACCCGTCAGACTCCTTTGTTATATGTTTTTGTGGACCTGAAAGTGCACAACGTTCAAAAGAATTCCTATCATTTTGATTGTATTGACCAATAAAAACGTTGCATTAATTTATTCCGTAACAATTTGCCAACAGAAAACAAAGGATTGTGCACTTTCACGGTGCTTTGAACATAAACTGCAGCACTGTTGTTTTTATCATTGATGTTTGCCGCTTTTCATAACCAGTCTCCTCTAATAACTATGTTTTCTCGGACTCCTTTGAGCAATTTGAAAAAAAAAAGTGAATTCAATTTTCTTTAAATTATTATGGTACAAAGTTTTTGTTCAATGAAAATTAAAATTACTCAATTTCCTGGTGGATTCCTTCTCGAATGTTGTATAACGCGTCTTCAACAGGGAGCCGATTAAACTGAACGTACTATGCAGTCTAAACCCATTTTTAGCCTAACAACTGTCACTATTCGATATATGGACTATGGCTTTATACTGCAAAAAAACGCAACCTTAAATGTGGAGACGCCTCTGAAAATTTTTTTCGGCCGCACTACGCGAGTATTATGCCAGGGTAAACATAATATATAGATTTACCAGAGCTAAAAGCTCTGGTTAATAATACTTATAAAAAACAACAACAAAAAAACATGTAAATCTTGTAATGTTAAACGGGGACGGCAATGAAAATGGTATCAAGATCAATAGATCTAATTAGCAAAAAGACAAATTTGCACGTGCAGCACCCTTTTTTGTCTTTCTTTGCCGTTGTTTTGCACGACTACAATGCCGCTTTGTACGACTAAGGGCCTGTTTACATGGAGGTGGGGGACCCCAGATAGGTGAGGTAACATGCGGCGGGTCACCACACCTATCATGTAAACGTGATCAAATTAAAATGAGAGATTATATGGACAGGCGGGTTACCCACCAAAGCAGGTTACCTCACCTAACTGGGGTCCCCCACTTCCATGTCAACTGGCCTTAATACCTCAAACTTCGTAGTTACACATTTTTGTGGAGGAATTTCCGTGTGGTGCTTACCAAAGATTTTGTTTCCAGTGTTCATGTTCGCTTTTATTTTCTCACTACCGCTCATTTTCACCTGGCCGCTGGCATTTCTCATTTTCTCACCGCCGCTATGAAATTTTCTTGTTTTTCTTCCAACGAACTTCGTCTCCCTAGCTCTTTCTCTGTTATTCACATGAGTGTAAACATCAAAAATAACGTCGAAAAAGACACGGCTTTGTAGGTTTTTTCCTCTCTCTAAAAGTCCGGGCGGCCATGCGATTTTCTTCCGTTGCATTTGGGTTGCGATATCTGTTGATTGAGTTATTTTATATTGGTGTGCCTGTGGTGCGGACGGTCGGGCGGTGTACGGTCACTTGATTACCAAATTTCCTAGGATGCATAGGTGTACGGGCCGGGGAGCAAGGGGGGCTGCTGCCTCCCAAATTTTGGGCAACTGAGATTTTTTTTTTTTCACATTTTTTGGGCAGCAAGACAAAAATTTGGGCAAAGCCAGGTTTTAAAGACGTTTCCATGTTTTTTTTCTATTACTATTTTGAAGAGATAAATATTTTCTATTGTAATCTGAAAAAAATCCTGAAGTAGGCGTAATAATCCAGTTCCATTCTCTCGAGACATTGGTTGCCTAGCACGTGATGGGTTTTCGGTTATTAGGGAAGGGTATCACATGTTGATTTACATATTTATAGTTTTTTATTGTTGAGCACTGTACTGCACTGCACTAACTGGAATGGACCCTTTCGAGTCGTGAATTGATTAGAATAAACTTCCGCATATCTTTCTAGAATCATCTCTGCTCGTAGAACAGTGTATGGCAGATAGCATCAGTGATGGGTCTGAAAATGAAGAAGTGGCTGACTAGTTCTAAGTTTGATAACGGCCAAACATCAAGATTTTCCTTTTTTACCATATTTCTAACGATAAAAACTTCATTTATTTTAAAGTTCTTTTCAATAGAAATGTAATAATATTTAGTTTGCACTTCAGTTTCAGACATTAACGTTTGAGGATTTACGGGAAATCGACGGTTCGGAACCAGGTAAATCTTTTTTCACTACTAATCGCACGAGTTGACTTTCTGACCAGGGGGGCAAGGGGGGGTGGGGGGTCTCATCACAAGCCCACGAACACCAATTTTGCGTTTCACGTGTCACGAAACAAATATTTACGTTTTCACGCTTCTCAAAAATAGAGTTCGTACAAAGTGTAAAAAACGTTAGGTTAGTCCCATTTTGTAAAACGGAGTGCTTCGATTATATTTGAGCAAGTTAACTAGAGTTTTACGAACGTTATGAAAAACACGGCTTTAAATTCCCTAGGGAAGCCAGCTGTAGGTGGGTCTGAGCGCACTTAAGTGTGAAGTTACATCAAAAGACTCGAAAGTGAAGTCAAAGCCACCAGATGCTAGTTAAGGTCGTGTGTGGCCAAATCAACGAGTAATTTTCTTCGATTGATCTTCAATGAACGTGTAAACAATCGAGAATTTTGGCCGTTTAGGTTTCTCGGAGAGCGCTTCAATCACGATTCACAGAACTGTTTTTCAGTACATCACGAGTCACGGACACGAAAAATGTTCGATCAAGTCGTCACGAAAATAACCTTCCCCCCTCGCCCCAATATGAACCTCGAGTTCTAGTTTATTTGCGACTTAAATGACCTTACTTGTTAGTTGCAATCACTTCCCTTCTCACCAGATCGAGATTGCCCCGATTCATATTGCAATGAATGTGATCTGTCTACAGTGGCACCTCCCCCCAGGCTGACTACGTCATCATCGTCTAGTAGTTTCGAGAGTTGTCCTCCGACATCATCCATCAGTGTTAACGCCTATAAATTACAAGAGGAGTATCAAAGCCAAAGAGACGACATCATTCAAATGCCTGAACCACCTCAAGAAAAGCACGCGCAGGTACGTGAGTGCTTTATAATCAGCGAAATAAACTACTTGAAGGAGAGTATTTGCACTCGGGTTTGCCTATTCGGTTCCTAGAAGTCCAGTCAGTCAGCAGGCGAAAAATGTGTAACATAAATAATTCATTAGAGGTTGGATAGGTTATTACATTATTGGGATTCACATTCTGGCAAAGCTGTCGGGCCCCGCCTTCAAGCGTTCCTTGTGGTGTGGTGAAAAATTAAGTGTTTTGAGACATCTGATCCCTATTTATATTGGTTGAAATGAATGCTAAAAAATTGAGCTGCATTCATTTTTAAAGTGAAGCAAATTTTAACATTCATTCCAGTGTAATATGGATGATGTTTGTTGATTTATGTTGATCAGTTTTAATTTAATTCATTTTTCTGTTTAAACCTCAATCACACAGCTTGTTTTGACATCTTTCGATTTAAAAAAGGATTCTGAATATAAAAGTATTCTTGCACGCA